AAGACAAATAAAACCTGAAACAATTTCCTGTCCTTTTATCGCTACATAGCAAAGGCTTGGAATTACGTGAGACACTGTGTTTTCATCTCTGATTTTTAATAACAACTCTGTCAAACCTCTTCTCTGAAAATAGTGGAATAATTTGAAAAAGAGCATAATATGACAGAAAGATGGAATGAGGTAGTCTAAAAATGAACATGCTAAGTAATTTTTAGAACTATGCTACCACTGCAAATTTAGTCGATAAGGAAAATTTCAAATGTTAAGACAGCAATTAGAAATTAAATATATCCAGGGAAAGTCTTATGATTTCTTTTTCCCTCAAGACAAGACAGATTTAGAAATCAGGATGAAAAGAATGGTATTATGTATCACACAGTGATAACTTGACCAAACAGTAATTTTCTGTTCCTTAAATATGGCAGAAACAAGCAGATGTCCTTGTTATTATAAGTTTGTTTCTGAGAACAAGAACTTTGTCATCTGAAGAAGCACTGTACTATACAGTTTTGTGATGCAAATTCCTGTGAACAGCAGATTTTTATTTACCCCCTGCCCCTTGATCTAATGCAAGCAAGATTTCTCCTTGGAAACCAAATGCTGGGCTTAGGCTCAAGATCCTGAAGGACATACTTGCATTTGCACTCCTTTTGACCACTGTTTCCATGGACTAGGGAAGGCAATTTCTTAACAGCATTTAGCAAACAACTTGGCTGTGAACTACTAATATATCTTATTCCTAAGGACCTACAATTCCTGAACTTATTACTACTTTAAAGCAAACATTGATTTCTATATTTCAGGTTTAGGAGGAAGAAGGTCTACATCTTTCAAACTGGTCAACCTTTGTTTCATTCCTAGGAAATTTGGTGTTTTGCAAAACTTATAATTATTTCAAGAGTTATTAGTGTCTACATTGCTCTTGGATAAGAGTTTAGACCAGCCGATTCCAGGTTCCTAATGCCTACCTGAAAAACCCTGAGTTAAGAGAAACTTCAAAAAACACTCTTAACCTAAATGTTAGCATCATTGTTTTAATGCCTGTATGGTCAGAATATTTTATGTGAAAAATATGCAGATTTAGAGATTTTGTAAAATTTTTTTTAAATTATTTTTTCTAAAGTGTGTTCAATTAAATAACCTTTTAACTAGGCAATGGTAACCCAGTAGCTGCCATGGGACAAGTACCATGTGGCTCATAATCCCTTTAACCACACTGCTTTTTTATCTATTCTTCCCAAGAGATAGGGAGGGAAGGGAGCCCAGAAAACATACAAAAAAATCCAGCGTTCAGTTCTCAAATCCGGACTGAGTTCAGCAGAACTTTTCAAAGACTAACCACTGATGACTCGAAAGCTGGATAATCTTCAAGTAACAGCACACCTGGGACTGCAGATTTTCCAGTGGCTTTTGATGTCTCTCAATTGACTCTCATAAGATGATTCTTTTTGTCATTTGACAAATGTAGTAGTTTCTTCAAAGTGCTCAGAGGAATAGAGGGTAAGCACCCTGGTCTATCACACCTACAGTATAGAGCAAATCAATACATGAGAAAGAAGCAGCAAGAGAAGAATATTATGTGCTATCATTATCTTGCATTACCTGGCAAGAAGTTATCTTTAAGATTTAAAGCACAGGACTATTCTCATACAGTGCCGTTCTCCGGAGTGACTAGAAGAAAGGCTTTGTTTTATACAATAGATCCTTCTGTGAATGCACTCCACATCATTCCTGTTAACATCAAATGATAAAATAGGCATTTTTCATTTTAGCTGTCAGCTCTAGGAAGCATATACTGCTCAGAGACAGGCTAGTATACAGGATGTATACTAGCACTGCTTACTAGATCTGAAAAAAAGGCTAGTTGTTAGTTGCACTAAAGGCAGGTAAAATCCACTTTATTGTGAAGACTGCGCTAAAATCATACAAGCAGAAAAGAGCACGAATGGGAAGAATCTGGCTGAACATCACATGGACAGCAATATTTCCTTGTCACTTAGTTTCTATTAGTAGAGGAACCAGAAGCAAGGCTTCATTTGAAGTTTTGTTTGCAAAGTTAATTTTCAGACTAGAACTTTGCATGCAGGTCCGCAACAAGAAGAAAAGGGTCCCCAACTCTCTCTATGGAATGAAATAGGCATGTATGTCTCCACTGCATCACACACAGAACAGTTTTATAACATCCCACTAAGCTGCCTGGCTCTCAGTCACATATCCATTTGCCCTCACTAGGATGAGGCCCTGGGAACTGAAACCATGAACATGAGAGAAAGAGTGGGGTGACTCAGATGTTTAACTTCATTGTTAGGCTGGGTCCAATAGGAACATACATACCATCAATGTTTGGTGTATGTTTGCAGAGATGGAACAAAACCATGCCCTATTATTAGGTCTTGAGAGTGAACTTATCCTGGGAAACTTGCTGTCAGCTGTAGCTTGCAAAAAGATGCTATGTATTTTATTCTCTATAGCTACATGCATATGTGTATAACAGTATATTTACACAATAACAGAGCAAATCATAAACGCAAAAAGTGATTCAACATTTACTTTCTAGAGGTACTTGATGTGATTTATTACTGTAGCAGCACTGAAGGTAGCTAATGGAAAAACAACTATATCAAAAGGACTCGATGAATTGAAAGCCTAGTTTCCTCCCAAGCCCTGGGGACTTTTACACAAGTCCTTAGATCCTTTCCTTTCTACACTAGAGGAATATGTTTGAGCTCTCAATATAAGACATAGATTGGGGGCAACCAGAGAAAGTAGTTACCAAATTATGGTAAATGTGAGACCTATGTCTAACCCTGTGCCCCATTTTTGGATTTCTTCTGGATACTTAACCACATCCTTCATGACTAGTCATTTCTTGGAACTGGCATTAATTCAACATATCAAGACAATAGCAAGCAAACGGCTGTCGTTAAAAACAAAAGCAAATCTTCAGACTAGCCCATCACAGAGGGTTCTGCTTTTCATATTTCCTGAATTACCTCCACATCCCAGAATGGGTAACATTCAGGGTAGATGAAGTGCCTTGACTTGAAATGTGAGAGATGATGGCCCATCCACAGTAGGAATGACTGAAACCTGCTGTCAGCCTTCTCATTAAAAAGTCAGGAACTGGGACCATAAATCCTTCAAGGAGAGAAAATATGGTACCATAGAAATGACATGACATATAAAAAACTAGCTGAAGTAGTTCCAAAATGTTTCCAAGAGTGATGTCCCTAACTGGGATCACATTACTAAGGAAGACAACATATATAACTTCATAGCTGGTGTAGAGTAGCCCTGTCAGAGACTGAAACAGTTAATGATTTACACATTCTGAGATCACCAAAAGACTTTTGCAAACTGAAAAGAAGCAGCTGCTCACCCAGCAGAGCCCACTGTCCCTGAATACTGCCAAAGGACCTTCAGATCAGATATGTGGGTGCTATTGTCCATCCATCCTTGGTGCAGATGCCTGCCTGAGGAAAGGAAGAGAGTAAGAAGAGACAAGTCCTGCAAGGTGGGAAAATCCCTTTTCTCATGCCAATGTCCTCATCTAGCCTGAACTATGCATCTCAGATGTTGGACTGTTATTGATGCTGGCAGAATAGGCAGCTGCAACTGTCTTCAGGCCTGTGACACCATCCATTGTAAAGCTCCCCTCCTGACCTGGAAGTGTATAATAACTCATAACACCTCTAATACTGTGTGTGGGGCTCCCCCCACCCCAGTGGACCAAGACCACCACTTCAACCAACAAACATTGAAGCTGCAACTACCAAGTTTCATCACTGCATGGAGTGGGTGGTGACTATATACTTCTTTCCACCCTTATCCTTTCTTTCCTTTTCTCTCCCTTGTGCATTTCCTGAAGTGTTACCTTTATGCTTTATTGCTATAGATACTATGCTTTAACAATGCTTTATTGTCATAGATGCTTTAATATTACTATGCTTTAATAGTGCTATATTGCTATGCTTTAATATACAGATGCTTTAGTTTTAAAAATGCCATATTGCATAAATGCTCTAATATTGCCATGCTTTAATAGTGCTATATTGCTATGCTCTAATATTGCTTTATTGCTATAGATGCTTTAATATTACTATGCTTTAATAGTGCTATATTGCTATGCTCTAATATTGCTTTATTACTATAGATGTTTTAATATTCTGTGCTTTAATAGTGCTATACTGCTATGCTTTAATGTTGCTATATTGCTGTATAGATGATAACATACATATAGATGTTGTTTTGCTGTAGAATGATAACACCCCAAAATGGCAACATACCTGTTTACCTTTGAAACAAAATTGTTCTAAAACAAACCCTACATATATAGGTCTACAAACACCAGTTATTCAGTGTTGTTTCATTCTAATCCACCCCAAGGGATTTATTAATAAGAACCTGGGTTACCCTCCCCTTTCTGGGGTGGGTTGCAACAAGCCCTGGCATCCAGTATGCACTGTATTGCCATGCCAGCAGAAGTGTTGAGTTTGCAAGGCCTCAGGAGAGCAGCTTGTCAAATATACTTTTTCTCAACTTCTCTTGAGCTGCCTGCAATTTCCCAACTTTGCTTTTTGTTAGCAATTTTTCTAATGACGGGGTGTTTATACCTAATTTGCTTTATTTTTGCTCATCTTTATACAGTAAAATAATAGTTTCATACAGATACTCTTCCGTAGAAGACATGGTATGATAGGAGAGACCTCGGAAAGTGTGGACAGAGAAGGTGATCTAGAGACGTGAAGGCATGGGATGGTAAGAGATGGGTGGTAGGCTGTCATGGGAGGCCCCAGCATTATATATAACTCACTGATAGTCAGTTGAAGAAATGCAGACTCAGAGCTGAACAAAACCTCATTTAGAGGTACAAAGAGAACAGAGAACAAGCATCCAACTTGTGTGAAATACAACATGTGTAGGAAATTCTGTTGCACCATGAACTAGTCAGTAAAGAGTAAGCAAGGAGTTTGACACATTAGCAAACATAGAGGTATTACCTCAAGAAGCTCCTAAGATGAGAAGGGAGAAATCAACCATATATTCCTCATGGGTGAAGATTTGAGCTGCATGATTCCCTCTTCTTTCTGAAACCTTCAATGCTAGGACCCCAAAGGGCATTGGAAGACTGAGTATAATATCAGAAAAAGTAGTAGATACTAGGAAGTATGTGTATGACTACTCTATATTATTACACTTTTTCTTTAAAGTACTTCTTCTTTTTCCATAATGACTTCATGTGGGGTAAATAAATATTATTTAATTAGACTTTTAAGATTCCATTTAGACTTATATTCTTGGCATTACACATAACATGTTTCTCCTTTTGCCCTTAATAAAAAGGTAAGGGTAATGATACGTAGATACAATTATGCTTACAGAGGCCATTCCGTGACAGTATTTTGCATAATCAATATGTTTTATTCAAAACAATAATAATTTCCTTCCTTCACCTATCCAAATTTAAAAACAAAACAAAACCAGTCAACCATATGATTTGTCTTTCCTGGAGCAGTTTCTGTGAGTTCATTGATACTTAGCAGTGTTTGAATGTTTACACTCTTTTGCTTCCTACTTTGACCAAAACTAAGTTAATTTGTTCTTGTGTAATGTGACTTAAGCAGTAATAAAGCGAGCAGAATATTTTCTAAATGTTGCTTTCTGTGTGACAGAAATCAATATTTTTCTAATTATCAGTCCAATACCTTAAAGATACTTAAATGACTAACAGTACACTACTCTCAAAGTGTCATATTGCAATTCACATTGCTGGCTTTCATTTCCATTTTACTGAATTCCAATACTTTCAGTGTCAAAGAAGTTCTCAGGAATGCACAAAGAATTGTCCTACTTTTGTGGAAGAAGCAACTCTAGATGGCTTCAGCCCTGGCTAACTTCTTGTTTAACTGGATTTGCTCCAGAAGGTGATCAGTTATATTTGAATTGAAGTGCCCTAAGGAAGTCAGAGAGATATAAAATTTTAGGACTTTTTATTTATTTATTCAAGTCATCATGTCTTTCCAAATCTGAAAATGAGTACCTTTGCATGCTGTTTGGAAATGGCGCAGAATGAGGTTCTGATGATCTAAGGCAAATTTTGGCGAGCCCTGTTCACTGAATGTTTATCAATAGATTTTCTGTGTCACAGTGGAGACCTGTCTGGCACTAATCCAGGCTGAGCATTAAGTGCAAATGCAAGTGAAATATTCAGTTCTTCTGTAACAATGTTGCAATCTTCAGTGTATGAATATATATGTATCTAATGGATAAAGAAAATAATTTGATATTTCTGACTCTACACTGAAGCAGAGGAACATATCTGAGACAGAGACATTTAAAATTTCATACACCGTGTCTTTTTCCTTTGTAACTGTAAAGGCAATTTAAATGTCACATTCTTCACTCTTACTCTTATTATAGTAGTCTCTTTCATGAAAACAGATAACTTAATCAAGAAAATACTGTATTTCAGAGACACTGAGGGGAAAAAATGCCTACCCCGTTACAGAGGTTTTCCTTGAAGACACCTCTTATTAAATTTTGACTTGGAACATCTGTCTTCTCAGTTCTTCAGAATGACTTGTGCTGTACTTGTTTAACTGTATTATGATAAATTGAGACATGGGATTAGTTTCCTATTAGAAAGGCATTATATTATTTGACTATTCATTATATTCATTCACCTATTATTTGTCTATTATAAAGGGTCCAGGCTTGAATGCCCTGATGCCCAAGGAAGGGTGAGACAACTTTAATGGGGCATACTTCTGTAAAATAGGACTTGTAAAAGTGGTTTAGGGAGTTAATTCAGAATGATGACTATTGCTAGATTTAGATGGTTAGATTTAGATTAAAAAATTTGCCACTATTTTTCTTTTCTTGAAGTAATGAGTCCTGGTATGTTACAACGCTCCAAACCACTGCAGCCTCTGTTGTGTGTCTTTGGAAGTGACCAAACAAAAACTGACAATAATGAAATCAGCAAATCAGCCCTTACAAAATGTTGACACAATCTTTAGGCAAAGATGCAAGATGAAGTAAGAGAGCATTAAGAAATAAAGCATGTGTAGAAAGAAGCAAATGAAAGAACGACAGTATATTCTCAGAGTGCTGGAAAGAGAATGTTTTATTTTTATGACTTTTTGGGCATATTACCTTGCTAAATTCTAACTCTGTTTCACTTTATACAGTTCCAATTATATTGGCTCACCGCACTGAGCAACAATGGGGACTTCTGCTGCCTGGCCTCATTTATATTGAGTTGCCTCTGAGGCTTTCACGGACCATTTGTCACCTACAAACTAAACATGTTCCAGAATGAAGCAACCTCCTTTGGGCTTAAGGAAAAAACAAAACCAAACAAAAACCAGCCAGTTATCCTGTGCCTGTGCAACATGTTTGAGTAGTTTCAGAGTTTGCTGCTGAAGAATGTACATATGGGAAACAAATTTTGTCTATATCAAGAAGCACACATGGACAGGAGGCTAACTGGAATAGGCAGTTGTTGGAAAACAGGCCTGAGTGACATAATGGTGCCCTTCAAGGGCTTTTTCCAGTGGCCAAAAAAGCATCAGGACTGTCTCTTTTCAATTAACTACCTATCTGTTACAAGGGCTACAGTGAGATTGATTATTTCATTTCTGCTAAGTCCTCTGAAAATCCCTAAATGCACAGGAAGCATTTTTTCATCATTAAACTCTACTAGGTAAGTTGTGAACTCCTGTACACCTATAATTTGAAGACATGCTTTAAGTGCCTGATCTGTAAATAGAAATGGAGGTGTGTGGTTAGTAGAGCACTCTGAAGAAATGCATTTCTTTTTTACCTATGAACAGCTTTTTGACATCTTACCTATTCAAAAGAAGCAGAGGTCCTCAAATACTTTTTAAAATGAAAGCCATTCCCGCCTGCTCAAACCCCAAAATACAGCTGTAAGCAAAAGGAGCTACTTTAGCATCAATTTGTAAAATATGCTCCCAAAAAAGTCTCCAGTGCCATGGGAGCTTTCAAATTACATTTTAACTAAATCATTTTTCCTGAAGCTAAATATATTATAGTCTCCTATGATGAAAAACAGTGGCAGACCAGGCAAGGTTTCTGAACGCAGATGTATTTAAGTTCCACAAAACTTTACTGAAGCATTCAAAATACAATTTTAAGGAGTTCTCATCAATTTAATAGGCATGTCGATATCAAAGCAAATAATAATGCAGTCCTTAAAATATGTAAATGCATTGTATACTTAATTTTAGGGCTTAAATTCTACATATTTGAACTTCAAAAAATTTATAAACCTACCCACTAGCATTTAGGTTTGTAAAATAAATTGTTGAGAATCTCAAGATCACAGGGGAAAGGGAAGCTTACTGTCAAAAAAATACAGAGCTGAGTGAACTTCCAGAAAATATTTCTCATCCTCTCATTGTGCCCAACAAAATGAACAGAAGAATGAAGAGACAACTTTGTTTTGGTGAAACATGTGGAGCACACAGTACAGGAAAAATTGATAAGAATAGATGGCACACATGGGTATAACTTGTTTTCTTATTCTAGGTCTGAAGCTCATCGAGAGCTGCTGAAAATTCTACGCTGGTCCCAGGTGAATAGACTTGAATGCCCAGTTGTCTGGATGTCATGATCCAGGCAGTTGGGTTCAGCGCAAGAAGTCCAAACTGCTGAGCAGCATAGTGGGGTGAAGACAGGCAGAAAATTATAATGACAGCACACGCTTCCCCTGCAATTACCACCCGTGCTCCTTGTGAATGCAGACCCAGTGGTTCATTAACCTGATCCAGCCCATCTCCTCTTAAAACATTCGCACATTCTGCCTCTCACATCTGACCAGGTTAGCTGTGATCCTCAGTGCATCTTTAGAAATAGGGACTTTTGCTTACTTTTATGCTTTGCTAGAGCCAAATTACCTTTGAGGTGATCCATGCAACTCAGAAACTATCACTAGTTTTCTAAATCCTATAAACAACAACCAAACAAGCTATAGTACTGCTCCCATAGGTATTTGCAGCCTAAAAGGATCAGCAGTACCTTCTTCTCCGCTCCACATTTCTGTCCTTGATATCAGAGTATGTGCTTGGCCCAGGTGTCCAGTCTCTTAGAGCGGTTCAGAGTTGTGGAGAAGTTACCAAAAACTGGTTCTCCTGCACTGCACAAGAACACAAGCTTCACAGGATCCCAAAGACCTGAGCTCACCGACTCTGAACAAGTGGTTTGTTTATGCCTAACCACTGGTAAATTAAACACCACAGCAAAAGAGGGCAACGGAAGGAGAAGGAGAAGGAAAGTTGCACAAAACACTACAAGAAATCAAACCTACATCTCCCTTCATACAGGAGATTACCTGCTTGCTTTAGTTCATGCTTGGGTGACTCCCCATTTTCAAAAATGAGTGATTAAGTAAGCAGGTACCCACTTCAGCTTTTAGGGTTCAAACACTGGAGCGCTGGAAGTATTTTATTCCTTCCTCCCTGCAGCTAGAGTTGAGGCCAAGGCAATGACAATTATCTTTTTCTTTCTTCCTTTTTTTTCCAGAGTCAAACGAAGAGATGAATCTGTACAAAAGGAGAAAGGTAGTCAGCCAGAGATATAGCCTGGGCTCCGTTTAGTGGGTGAAATCAGAAATATGGAGACTTAAGCCTATCAATATATTTTCAGAGACTTGTGTAATAATAGCAATTGAGAGCTTTTATAGCTACACAAATCTGTCAAACACCACTTCAATGATATTTCAGGAGGGAATTGGGCAAAAAGCTTTTTACAGAGGTTTAGGGAAGTTCTGTCACACCTGATCTATTAGATACTGCTTTTAAGTATTGCAACAGCACCTCTGTGCCTACTGTAGAAGAGGGAGGGCTCTCAGGGAAACCTAAGCTGAAATAGAAAAGACAGCAATTCTTCTGAGGCAGACAAAAGCTCCTCCCCAAAAGCACACTTCTGATGCCAGTGTAGGATGAGGAAACTAGGTTTGACAAGAAACAGAGCAGGGATATCCAAGAGGTTCAAACTATGGAAAAATATTCTCTAAAACAGAAGAAAGTTTCTTTTTCAAAGTGACAAATTCATGTTTATATTAAAAAAAAAAATCATGACCTTCAAAATAGAACCTAATTATTCCAGCCACTAGCACAGAGCTGAGGACTTAAAGACCCTAAACAAAAGAGAGTAGCATGTTTTATTTATAAGAAAGCCATACTAAGATTGTTCATTAGTTTCCCTCCTGAGTTGTTACGAGACAACTCAGATTTTATTCACACTGCATATATTTGTCATACATACTGGAATCAAGAAATTGTACAATTTTTAAATTTTTACAATTTTTAAAACATTGCTTTTAGTTGGACACACCAAGGGTTTTGGCTAATTTGTATATATACATAGGCAGATTTTATTTAAAATTTATATCTTTCTCTATTTGCCTTTCCTTTTTTTCTTTCCTTCCTATTGGCACAGAAATGGCTTGAGTTCACTGATACTAAGCATTATAGGGTTGGGGAGGGCGTCCTGTCTCTCATTCTGGTCTTCACCTTTCTTCTCTCTTGAGTGAGAGTACAAATGGGCTGCCCTTTAGGATGACTCAGCTTCGACATAACCCAGCAGCCAGCTGCCCTTTTAGGTTTGTACCTACTTATCCCAGTCCTTCTGCTTCTTAAATTAAACACTGCTTAGGTCAAAAATAAACTGTCTGACCAGCCAATGACCTTGCTTAGATCTCAGTTTAGCTTTTGAATTGCTAATATCCTTCTACACAAAATATGCCTCTTAAGAGGTGTCAGGGCATTTACTGGTCTTTGTCCCTACATATATTCCCAGACAAAGTGACAGCTGCACAGCAAGCACATTAGTTCTCTGGTTACCATTTATGCTCAGCATGGAAAAATTATCCAGAAATTGCCACTGGTACTGTTTTTGACCTGTGCTCTCTCCCTGTGCTTCCCTTCTACTTTACCAAGTATGTTTAATGGATTAGCAATAACATCTAGAGAGAAAAAGCCCAATAAAACAATAAAAACAATAATCAAGGAAACCCTGTATGTCTGCTTATTGCTGTGCCCTTCCAATGTTCAACCTGAATATATTGAATGTGTGCCACCAAGGGGTTTAATTCCCAGTAAAAGTCTGCTTAGTTTGAGTTGTCCACATTAATTCTAAAGGCACGCCCCTCATAACTATTACACCAGCTACAAATCTGAAGAAAATTAGCTGGAACCCAAAGCAGTGGAGCTGTGGAGCAGTGAATATGGCAAGAACCTGAAAATGTGTTGCAGACGGGAGAAAGGAAGAGCCTTTGGAGTCTGGAAAAGTAACAGAGACATTACCCCTGCTTTTAGCTTGCCCAGGCAAAAACCTTAACTTAAAATAAGTCAATCTTTACTAACCAAGAGTAAACACTTTGTAGGCAGGATGACTTGGAAAAAAGCAAGACCAAGTTACTTCCTTTTTAGGTCTCCTGGCATAAAATTTTAGATATCTCAAATGTCAGAAAATATCCTGTCACCAACAAAAATTGCTGTTTCCTGGAAAAGCACAAATAAGTTTTTGAGCAAGGTCTAATTATTAAAAAAAAAAAAAAAGATAAATACTTGCTAAGATTGTGCCTTCTTTTTGGGTTGTAATTTCTGATCACACAGCTCTTGTTGTAAATTTAATATCCACCCTAAATTCTGTTCTCTACATTTATTCCAAACATTTGATAGCACTTCTTTGACTTTCTTAACTTTCTAGATAGTGAAAAATGAACAGGTTGTTTTTTAAAATTTTTTTATGTACTTTAGATACTTCCAGTTTAATGGTCATTGCCAAGCTCTATTTGGAAAGAATTTTTTCGTTGACATTCAATGACTGTAAATGTGAGAGAGAAAATAAGAGCAAAACCAAGAAAAAAATTACAAACCTACCCTCTCTTATAACAAAAAAAAGTCAGGGATAGAGAGAATATGAGCCACAAAAGAATTTTCTACTGCAATCTTGAAGATGAGAAGTCAAAACACTTGGCTGAAACAGAGGATAATTAGAGATTTTAACAGACAACTGAGGTAGCTTTTGATTTCAGTTTTTCTTCCAGAGAATAGAAAGTCACAGCTGGGTTTAGGAGGAGATAAATGGGCTGAGTGCACATACAGAATACTGGTATCCTCATCTGGTATTCCCAAGGATATCAGACCTACTCTGAAGATGATCTGTCCAGGGAAGACAATCTAGGCTCTCTGTTTCCTTCACATTTTCCAAAAGAATACACTAAATGGGTAAAAGTGTTCCTAAAATTAGGGATTACAAGCTAAACTGTTTTAATAGAAAGTTGCAAAGAAGCAAATGCAGGTTGCACCCAGAAACTAGTACAGGAAAATACTACCTGGAGTCTAACAGCAGAATATTCCTCTAAAACCCCCTGGTTTTATAGACTACCAACAGCCTTGTGTGTTCCACCCTTGCTGTCCCAAGTGGCTGAGTTGCACACAGGGGCTCCAGAACACCTACTTTGACACAGCTTTGATTTAATCTCCCAGGCATGGAAGAGATTTTTCTTCAACATTTCTAACAAAGGGAATCAGTATTTTAGATATTGCTTTCATTTATGCATTACAATTATCCCAGAGCATTTTCTTCCTGTCCCTCAGATGAAGGAACCAATCTTTTCATATTTTGCATCATGTCTTTGTTTCTCTTCAAGCTCCTGACACATTTCTTCTGCATTTTCATGCACAGATAGTAATACAGCTTAAGCAGTCTATTTTATCAGGGGAAGGAAAAGGAAAATAAACTTAATTTTGCATTAGGTAAAACAGAGCAAGTTACATCCTCCTGTAAAAGAGAAAATGGTCTGGATCTCATGCTGCTTGCAAAGCTAAGCCTTATTCTGAAAGCTGACTTGGTGCTTCTGCTTAATGTTTGCTCACTGGAAACTGAATCAAGGTAAGTTTAAAAGGTTGACAAGCCTTTGCTCCCACCTTTCAGCGGAGGAGATGAAGCTGAAAGCAACAGCAGCATCCACTGATGCTGGCCTCTTGAATGAATTTAGTGTCTACAGTGACAACATAAAAAGCAAAACCAGTCCTGGAAGATGAGAAAATGAGAAAAAAAATGAAGAAATAAAACCAATGACTTTGACAAGTAAATATAAAATAAACTGTAGAACATAGTTAGAAATGGCAGACTCCTTCCAAACACTACCGAGTGTGAACACTGTCAAAAATATAATTTAGAAAGTAATTTAGGTTCAATGGTTAGCAATTGTTTACCCACCTTTGTCTACTGCTGGTTCTCCTCTTCCATGTTTTCATTAATTCAGCAAAGTCACATACATTTGCAGAGGGAAAAAGCCTTGCTGTTACCACCCCTTAGAGAAGTTGCAGAGAGAATTCAAATCTGTGTGCAGGCAGAGACAGGAGATGGTAGAAAGAAGTAAGTGGAAAAAAACCCATTTATTTGTTGTCTCCCGTGATACAACTGATTTAAACATAAGGAAATATAAAAAATGCAGTAGATGTAAACTTAGGGAAGTATAATCAGCTCAATTGCTTAAAATCTTATCTTGGAGGATTGACAGAGTTTGATCCCAAAGCTACTAAATACTTCCAGCTTGGTAACAGTAAATATGTAATTAACAGCAAACTATTTGGTTGATCTTTAGAGGTGCCAGTGGGGTAATTGTCAAGAACCTTTCATTCAGCTTGTTCTTAATATGGTTTGGAACAATAACACTAAAAATAAACAGAATGGTTTTCCAAAAGTATGCCATTGTTGATTTTCCACAGGAATGTCCAGGGTCCTATAAACCAGGTGTTGCTGTAGCATATTGGAAATGAAAGGCAACAATTCAGAATTTGTATAAGTGATATTATGCACACTACAGTGCCTCGCTGATTCATGCAAAAGAGGTTCTTCCCAGCGCTTTAATTGGCACTTAAATCCTTTTACAGCTTGTTCACCGAGACAGCCTGCACGAAGTAGTCAAAGTGTAGCTGAGAGTATTATAAAACACATCTTTACAGGAAATAGGAACATTCATTTGATAATTAGCATGAAATCTTGGCCATATTAGATTTAAAAATCATTAGTCTCGCATCTGTGAGATGCTGAGTGCTTTTTGACCTCCGGGCATGCACAGCAACCAAGAGCACTGGCTAAAGCGCCTGGAGGCACCTGTCAGTGTGAGCTGCCTGGTGCTGAACCTGGCTCCAGCCCCTGTGGATCACCCTCCGAGCCTCAGCCACATGCACAACCCTAACAAAAATTACTCGGGGGTTTCTTGGAGTCAGCAGTATATTCACCCACTCATGTTACAAGGCGTCTCACAACAACTCCATTTCAAGTGACAACATACAGTTTGGTGGCAGACCTAGAGGTGCTGGAAGAGTAGCAAAGAATGCATTCTGCAACGAACAGAAAATACTTGTTCAACAAACCCAACATATTCCTTAGGAGCAGGCTGGCTGCTGAATCTTTTTGACAAAAGCAAGAGGGGAAGTGCAGGGGGATGGGATGGCAGGCCTGGATATGTACAGATGAAAAGATGACTGCCTCCCAGAGACAGGATTTCATGGCTTCCAGACAGTGCGGGAATAACGAAAACGTATTTTGGTTCACTTGAGAGTAATTGCTTCCTAATTCTCTCTTCTAGGAAGCTTGGAATTCAATTCTTAGCTGTAATGCCGAAGTAATAACATGTTTACTTGCAATTTATACGTGTCTATATACACATACACACAGACATATATACATATACACACATTTCAAAGAGAGGTACTTTTGAGTTTTGTTTTGGCTTTTTTTTTTTTTCTTTTTTTTAAGGATCAGAAAAGTGATTGGGAAAGAGAGAAGGAAATAAATGTGCTTTCACAGGAAGGAGAATATCCTCTTTTTAAAGCAGTTGTTCACTGCTGCTAATAAAATTCAGGTCCATTGCCATGGAGAAATCAGTTGATGAAATGGAAAAGTTTGCTTTTATTTTTTTAACTGAAAATGTACAGAACTGTATGACAAACTAATATATTTAGAAATTTTCATTTTGCGTTTATGCTTTACACTGAACCACTCTCTCCCCTCCTCTTGCACTTACCAGTCCCGTCAGCAATCACTGTAGTCTCACTTGCTAAGCAAGATTTTTCTTTAAAATAAGGTATCCCTAAATAGTGATCACTCATCACTATCGATGCTGATTTTAAACAGTCTTAAAGTCTGCAAGTATAGAGGTCTATGAACAAAGTGTGAAGATACACAATAAAACACTACTGAATTTTATTGGCAATTAAGCTTAGCTAGCCTTTGTAAACTACAAGCACATACTAAATAGTGATATGAGAATGCACACAATGCAGCAAAATAGTGCCAGCAGTTGATACTGCATATCAATCTTCAGCTACATATTTTCCTTTTAACTTCATTAGCCTTTTTTTACTGATGATTGAGAGGAAGGGATACATCCTGTGAAGGAGTACAGTAAATCGTTATAACCTTTTCTTCAAAGGGTGGATTTTACAGATTGCTCAAGACATTACAAGCACATACAATGTTTCTTAATACATTAAGGCCTGTGTAATGGATTACTATAGTTTTGATTAACTTACCTTCTGACAAAGCAATAACTCATGGGTCTACAATGCGCAGCACCTGCTATTTGGAACGTTAAATAAGTTCCTCAAAATATGGTCTGCCACCCAGTGCCAGTGTAGAATCCACAAGTTTCTTCTCATCTCTGAAGTACTGTTTTTGAAAGGATGACTTACTTGGCTTTGAATTGCATAAGACTGTAGCAAAGGAACCTTAATGTCTCCATCCAAACTATCCAGTATGCGTACCTAATAAATATCATAAACAAATACACCACAGCCACAAGCTGTTCTGTGATTCATACAAATGAGTTTGCTAATTCAACCTGACAACTCGGCTGATTAGACAAATAAAGTGTCTTCGATAACACCAGTATCGATAATAACATTTTCCAAATGGAACAGCTGTATTTCAAGCTGAACATGAATATACAATGGCAGACTGTTAAAGATCATGAAAAAGCTTGTACAAGAGATAACAGGAAAAAGCAGGTGTTTTATGAAAGACTGGCTCTTTTGTAGTCCTTGTTTGTATTAGTGGTTTCTGGCTGATACCGTAGTAAGGAGACATGTCAATGTACAGGGTAAACTTCTGAGCAAAGCACAAGATGTTGAGCTCTGCTGGGCATTTTAACTGTGGAAGTGGCAACACAGGCTAGCCAAGAGAGGTGTTAAAGCTGCAAATGGATCCTCCTTTCTCCATTCCTCTGACCTGCCATGGGAAACACAGTATGCCCAAGGGACAGGACAAGGATGAAGGACCAAGGCTGGAGACACTCACTGTGGCAGCCTCACCGTGCATCAAGGAATGGGAGGGTGTACGGGCAGAGAAGGAGAAAGTCATGGTCATTAGAAACTCCTATGAAAAATAAAATATAAAGACAAAGGTTAGGAACTGCTGGTTTATATGGTGCATTGCAAAAGGATGTCACCAGCCCCCACCAAAGAAGCTCTTGGAACTCAAAGGAGACAATCTGTAATGTTTCTGGTGCCTGTTTGAAATATTTAGCTGCAACTAAAGAGAACTAGAAAGCACTCAAACTGCTCAAGGGAGAATATTAAGATGAAAGAAGATACCATTAGGATAATTTTGCATACAGGAGATCAGTACAAGACAGCTCTTCTCTGAAAAGAAATAGCAATTTTGTGATCTTTAAAATTAATTTGGATACTCTCATTGCTTTTACAGGGAGCTTTCCACAGAAAATTGAAATGGGAAAGGGTTTTTAGAATTAAGAATGATTTGAGATGATGTGACAATGTTCAAATGATGCTGTTACATTTGAAGAGTGAATTAGTCTCATTACCAGGCTCTTCTTTTTTTCAGTAGCATAGAATTTTTAAGAGCAATTTTGCAAAAATTATCAGAAATGTCCATTTATATAATAGTTTCCTGTTATTTAAAAAGCTTTTATTGACACTATAAATTGTAAACTACTTGAGAACATGAAAACTAACAATTGGCAGTGGATTTGATATTATCCTAAAATTGAAAAAAATTAATGAGATGATTTCATGAATTCTCAATTGTCCCAAAGACTCTGTTTCAAACCAGCAACTAGCAAAATAAGAAAAATTTATTATGTTAGAGATTACTTTTTCCCAAAGCCCAAAATATTAAAATTGAGCCTAAACATGTTTTGGTTTCTTTTGAACAGTAGAAAACAGCCATCCAAGATCTGAAGTGTGCATATTAGAAACGGAGGCTGATGGTTTTTCCCAGCTAGTGGAATAAGCATTGAACTTGAGGTTCCTTTTATGTGCAATTTCAAAATGATGCAAAATGCCAACTTGTATAAAATGGATAAATATGTGCAGTGCTGGGAACCGAAAGTTGTGCTTGTCAGTGCATCTACAATGGTACATCTTGGCCGAGGAAAAATTTAAACGTGTTACAGCTCCACCTACTGAACAAAGAAGAAAGGATCTGAAGGGGTATAATTGGTGAATGTAATGAACTGGAGCAACTGAGAGTCTATGCAGACCCTGAGACAGATTTCTTATTGTTTTTGACACAGCTGTCTCATCAGCACTTACACTCCTGCTCAAGATCAGGTGGTATCAGATACAGTAAGCCATACTAAAGTAGTGGGAGTCAATCAACTTGCCCTGTTAGAAGCAGCAGCCTGTTTTTGAAACTCCCAGGAATTTTAACATGCTCATTTCTGCATTTGCTTCTCATCATTGACTAGCACAAAAGTCAAGGTTTGTATGCACAGCCCTCACTTTAGAAGGATGGTGCTACTCTGATGGTTTTGATGAAGCAACATATACTCTGTGTACTCAAGGACCACGAAGTGAACAAGCATTTGTTCCCCTTTTTGTTGTCCTTTTTTTGGTGTATGACAAAAACTAAAGAAAAGGTTGACCAACATGAAGTTCATTTTAAACTGCAGGAATAACACGGAGGGTAAAAAAAAAATCAATCTTGTAAAGAAATATGATCATGTAGTTACAGCTTTAGCAAAAGATTCACCTCTTTAATCTAATGACAGTAAGCCTGAGTCAAGGCTGCTATTTCTATGAATGCTGGTCTCATATATATGCCCTGTAGGTTCATAGAGTGGCTCAGAGCTAGAAATTCTGGGTATTGCAGAAACCTTTAAGACAACAGCAGGTCAGCCAAGTACTTTCCTACACCTTGGGACCATGTTGACAGTGGAAAAATAACTGAAAGATGTTGAAGCAAAAGTTCTTAATCAATAACTAGTGTTTAGCACTTACTAAGAAAGGTACAAAGGAATGTGGCAACATAGCAGAATAGGAAGAGCATGAATAGCATAAATCTT